TCTGCTGGAGCTCTTGGAAAGCAGCTTCCACCTGCGGGGACACTACCAGCCAAAAACTGTGTAAGCCTGGATTTGTACCTGGTGGAGAGATTGTCTGAGAAACGCTGAGGCTAGCAGAAAAGAGAAAGAACTAAATTCAGATGTCATTTTCTGGAGGCCCTACACCCAGTTGTGCTTAAAACATGCCCTACTACGGGCCCTCCCTGGTGGCGCATCCGGTTAAAGCACTGCACTGAGAAGCTAACGCCACTTCCGCATGAGTTCGATTCCCACCTGCCCCGGAGGAGATCCACATGGCGCAGCAGACCTCTCCTGACCCGCCCACTGCTCCCCTCAGCAGTGTACTTCGTCGATCTGCCTGTTCTGCTCCCCACTCTGTGTCTGGTGAAGCCTTTCACTACCCCTGCACCTCTAGCCTGTACCCCAGTTCTGTATGCATAAATAAATAAATCTTTAAAAAAAAAAAAAGACAAAAACATCTTGGGAAAGCTAAAGCAGGTCTGTCGGAGAGCAAACTCTAATTCAACAATGCACTTATATGACTCCATCCTAAACAAATATTCACATGTATAAAGATATACGCAAAAGCTATCTACTTCAGTAAAACGAGAAAAGAAAGGAAAATAATGGTATCTCATGGTAATGAATTCTGTTCTACCATGAAAGCAATTTAAAGACCGTGAGATATTTTCAAGACCAAAAAAAGCAAGCTTTAGAATACACATCTGTAATCTTGTTTATGTAAAAACATCATTTATATGTCTGTGTATACACATGTGTATATATATTTAATATATATTAAAATCTTGGCTGTGGAAAGGTCTTCCTTTTCTTTCTTTACAATGTCTGTTGCGATATTAAGGTGTGCCTCGTCTCAGAGTAGTCAGGCAGTAGTCTCTGTATTTACACCTTCTGTATTTACACTGGAGAGAGAATTACATTAAGTTCTTTCTTAAGTGTTTGGAGAACTCGCTAGTTAACCCATGTTAACCAATTTCCAGTAGATAAAAATTCTGTTCAGTCTGCTTTCTTTCCCTCCTCCTTGTATGAGTTTTGGTAGACTGTCATCAAAAACTGGCCCATTTAAACCAGCCACCTAGCAGTAGGGCTGTCCATATATTCCTCTGCTGCCCTCTGTGCTCATGGTAACTACAGCGAGGCCTCTTTCATTTGTTACAGAAATCTAGCCTCGCTCGTTTTTTGTTTTTTTTTT